TTTTTTTTTTTTTTTTTTTTTTTTTTTTTTACAATTTTCAGATATATGATAAGAAAAAAAGTCATATAAAAGGATACATACGGATTAATCAAAGAATTTGGTGCTTGAAATCGAATGCTTGAAGACAAATCCCTGCACGTAATAACAAACGCCTACGATTATGAAAGATTTTGAAAAGTAATTTTGGTTCATCAAACATTTAAAAATTTTAAACTGGACAGTACTAATTATAATAATAATGATAAAGCATGATGTAGCTTTTAAAATAAATGTTATCATAAATAAACATGTATTAAATTTCTAAAAGTGAAAAGGTGTAATAAAGTAGGATAAAATTAAAATTTTAAAAAGTCAGTTAAGGAGGGCCATAAACTTTTTTAGGAAGACAATTCCAAAAGCTACTTTAATTAATTAAACTGTACAAATCAACATAATTTTTTTAGAAAAAATAGTTTCTTTGGATTAATTAATAATTGGTTTCAAACACTAAAAGAAATAAATTTTCGATGTAATTAGTTCCAGGGCCTCCAAAATCAAAATCTCAAATGGAGCCTAAATGTAAGACAGATGGAAAATGGCCCTCTATAAGATGGTTGAAGAAATTATGTACCTTTCTCGAGAGGATAATGTGTATATATATATGCCACATCAAAGCCGAACCGCAATGTTTGTACAGCAGATTGGACACAGGGAACCAGCAAGAGAACAAGATAGATATACACACTGCAAGGGGGGAAGTGCTTATTTGTATAATTTAGATATTGAAATACAAAAGCAGGAGGAAAGCAAGTTTCATAAGTTCAAAATCACTTACAGCAGAAGGGCCGGTTGGCGATTCAAAACTTACTTTATCTACATGTATTGGAGGAATTCACATCGCCTTGAGCTTTCTAGCTCTTTTTCTTTCATCTCCTGAATATTTGCCTGAAACCAGCAAAAAAACAGAGTTCATTTTCCTGCTAGAATTACGAAGTCGTGGGGAAATTGGCCGAGTTTGCATACCTTAGGGCGGAGAACCAGTGGTTCTTCCTTCGGTGCTTCCCGTCCTGCTGGTTTTAAGATATCCAGCATTCCTCTGTCCATAATGCTAGAATCAGTTTGAGTGCTGCACTTTTTTCCATCAGCAAAACATACTACTAATTCACCCTTGTGCCTTGCGTCACTGGGTAAATCTGGCACAGCTCCTCCTCCCTCTTTCTTCAACTTAGCAACAAGCACCCACATGTTCGCCAAATCATTTTCCAGAGCCTCCTCTTTCTTCTTTGCGACTTCGATCTTTTTCCTGTATTGATCTTCTATAAATTCCTTTTCGGCTAAAGCAGCCTCGAGGGCTGCTTCACGTTGTTTTCTAGCCTGAGGTTCAAATTTTAAATCATCAGAATCGAATTCATCGTTAAATGCGCCAGCCCTTTCATTAAGACGCCCAGACAACCTCCCTTTCCTCCCAGGTCTTAAGCTGTCATGCTTGCGATTAACACCATTTGCATTTTGCAAGCTTCTAGAGTTGACCGATGCTCGAGCAGATGACAGTTCCTTCTCTAATTTTGCATTCTGCACTGTGAGCTTACTCACTTCCCCAGCTAAATTTTTTAACTCAACAGCAGCAGCAGAGGCTAGTTCTTTTGCATAAGAAGCTTCTTCAGCCAATTTCTGATTCTGAACACGCAATCCACTGTTTTCTTCTGAAAGTTGAACGTGCTCCAGCTTTAATTTCTCATTTTCAATCTCCTGATGGAAAAAGTACATATAAAACAGAAATGAGAAAAAAAAAAAAATATCACAAAGTGCATTGACTTATCCCATAAGTCCAAACAACCTACGGCACTTTTACTATGGAGGCGCAAATTTTAACTACTTAAAAAGCGCCATTGCTGCAGTTAAAGAACCGTGGTAAGCTTAGCCAGATTTGGATAACACAAATTGAAGCATGTTAAAATCACCTGCGACTGAATTTTCTTTTTCAGCTCATCGACACTCTCTCCAGGTACGTGTTGTTTAAATATCAATGATGATCGATCACCAGTAAATGAAGTCAATTGCTGCTGCAAAAGACGTAATTTATCCTGTAGTTCCTTGTTCTCCGCACTCTATAAATAAACAGATTTAAATAGTTGAAACGCCAAGCATCAAATCAAGGGGGTGGAAATAAATATCTTGCAGAAACAAAGGAATAAGATAAGAATATTCCATAACAAGATAGTGAAGTACCTTGTTCTGCAATTGTTCCTGGAGGATTCGGTTATCAGCCGATTTGATCTGATCAATTATCAAAATATTCCTTAGTTAAATTACGAACAAAGAGTTCAGCATAAAGGTAATATGATAATCCACCACCAGAATATGCTTGCTAGCTTGATAAAGTGCAAATCCAACTTCACAATTATTTGATGGACGGGCTTATTCAACTGGTGGTGGAAACATAGGGTGCCAACTAGATGACCTTGAAAGGCTAAAAGCACATTACAATAACTCACCTCCAGATCAAACCCTTTTTCGTTGCACTGGGCCATCAACCTGGTAATCGTCTGATAACAAACAATTCAAAGTTAAAATTTGATTAAGATCAACAAATAACTAGCTGAAACTTAATGTTGCTAGCCACGAAAGAGATTGCACCTGTTGCATTTCAACCAATGAAGCATTGGCAACCGATGCCTCATGGCTCTCAGTTATTCGTTGCTCTAAAACCCTCATTTGTCTCCTTTTCTCTTGAATCTCATGCTCCAAGCTCTGGATCTGTATCAGTCAATATGAATGGTTAAATATAAACAATAGCAGACAATATATGAAGTATTGGGTTTCATCGTGCTATACATAGAACAGCTTTCTGAATGTTTGCTAATTTTTTATTAAGATGTTATACTTCCATTAGTGCTAGTTCTAATGTAAATCAAGCAATCACTTGCAGAACAAAAATAGGATGGTGCACTGCAGCTCTGGAACACGTATAAAACAAAGATTACAGATTAAGATATCGTTAAAATTCACTCCCTTTGATTTAAGAAAATTAAAGAGAATCTCAGCAAAAACAAAACAAAAGCATTGAGATAATCTAACTAGAAGAAAGAGCTCCAAGGTTTAAGTTAAATGTAATTGTTAGGGTAGGGAGTTCTAGCTGATAGGCATACAAATGCATGAAAATCATTTGGCAGAAAGCAATTGACGAAGCAACAATGTCATATTTTAACAGTTTCTAATGAGATCGGGCAAAAACATGCAAACCACAAATGAAATTTACATGAGTTTTAGAGTTCTCTGGGTCTGCCACCGACTGCTCCACCAAGCGCTTAAGGGTGCTGGTACTAAATGCAATCTCTCCAGAAAGCATCTTAACTTGCTCAACTAGAAAATCCATCTGATCTGACATTGTCATGCCACCCTACCATCCAAAACGTAGTCAATATTAAAAAAACAACTAAACAAAATATTAAAAAAAGAAAAGGTTCAAGAACCAAAGACAAAGAAACTCTTATATGAGGTCAATTACAGAACCAAATCCCTATGCCACGTAATGTTTCTTCATATTGCATGGTAATGAATCTCCTCGATTTCATCGGAATTCAGGACAAATAGTAATTCATAAAGGAAAGCTAGTCCAATAAATAGTGATGATTTGAAGAACTTTATAGTTGCAATCCTAGCATATAGTGCGCCTTGTTGTCCCACCAATCAATTTATGGTATCAAGTCATGGCATTGCTGTTTTGCTACTCAAAACGTATTGTTTTAGCCATCAGAGCTCACGAGTTTTAATTTTGCATACATAATGATTTAGACTCCCGAGCTCCTAAAGAGAACAGATTTCATAATCACTATTATTAATTGCATTACTTTTTGAAGGGTGAATGATGAAAATAGAAAGAGCCAGAAAGCCAAAGGCTGAAGAATTATTTAAAATGAACCAATAACAGTGTAATATTCCAAATCACACAGTGTCTTCTAGGTTGTTCAGTTGTCTGAGACATAATTGTTATATCAAATTATCGGGAAAACTTCACTATACTCTATATTATAGTTGAGATTCTGAGGAATTAACACCAAGACTCGGATACAAAATAAATCTCCTAATTGTGAGTTCTTAACTAAATAACAGTCAAACGTCCAAACCCAAGGTGAAAAGTAGCAAGAGCAGAACAGTTCTAACGGAAGATATCAAACAGAATGAGTTTGAGATTGGATATATGATTTCCTGGTCTAATGTATAAAATGATAATGCTACATACCTTGAAAATGAACTCAATGAGAGAATTAATCGTCACCATTAGCAACATATTAGCAAT